TATTCTGAATGGGATGGTAAATGAAGGATTTTGAGTAGTCATATTTTTATTTTATTTTATTTTATTTTATTTTATTTTATTTTATTTTATTCTTCTATATTTGTTAGAGACAGGGTCTCACCCTGTTGCCCAGGCTGGAGTACAGTGGCGTAATCATAGCTCACTATAACCCTGAACTCCAGACCTCGAGCAATCCTCCTGCCTCAATCTTCCAAAGTACTGGGATTACAGGCATGAGTCACTGTGCCCAACCCTTACATGTGTTTTAAAAAGGTCGTTGTGGTTGTTATGTGGAGGATGAACTTCAGGGGATCCAGGTTAAGTAGGAAGATGAAGCAAAAGGCTACTGCAGTAATCCAAGAGAGATAGGATAGTGTTTGGACCAGGATGGTAGCAACAAGAGTGGTGACAAATGAATGGATTCCAGATGTATTTTGAAATTTTTTTTCACCCAAGCAACTGGAAGAGTAAAGTTGCCTTTAACAAAAATGGGGAAGAGTTTTAGAGGAGTGGATTTGCTGGATGGGGTGAGGGTGATATGGTGGTGGTGGTGGAGGTTAATGTCAGGAACTTAGTTTTGGACATGCTAAGTTTCAGTTAGTGGTGTCTAGTAAGCAAGCAGATGTATAGAGGAGAGGTCTAGTTAGAGATATACATATATTTGGGAATAATTTTTGCATAGATTACATTTAAATCATGGCATTAGATGAGTTCCCAGACTATGAATGTAAATAGAAAAGAGAAGTGCAAGGATGATTGCCACAGAAAAGGGAGGAGGAAAACCAAGCAAAGAGAATGTCCTGCGATCCAAGTTAAAAAAAAGAAAGGAAAAAAAAAAAAAAAAAAAGAAAAGAATGAACAGCTGGGTCAAATGCTGCAGGTAAGAAAGATGAAAACACTTGAAATGACCATTATTAGAGTTAGTATTGTGGAGGTGATTGGACCTTGGTAATAATCCTTTTGATGGAATGATAAGGGCAAAAGCCTGATCAGACTTTTCAAGAGAGACTCTGTGTGTGTGTGTGTGTGTGTGTGTGTGTGTGTGTGTGTGTGTGTGTGTGTGTGTGTGTGTGTGTGTGTGTCTGTGTGTCTGTGGAGAGAGAGAGAAGAGGAAACAATAAATAGGAAAATTTTCCCAAGGGGTTGCTATAATTAAAGGAAACATGAATGATTGATAGCTGGAGAGACAGATGAAGTAAAGAGAAGTTTTGTTTGTTTGTTTGTTTAAGATGGGAGAAATAACAGTTTGTTTACATGCTGAAGGTAATAATCTAATAGAGAGAGAAAAACTTATGATGCAGAGAGAGAACTGCTAGAGCAATGTCCTTGAATAGGCAAAAAAGAAATGGAATCTAGTATGCATGTAGAGGGAGTGACCTAAACTGTAATAATAGAGAATTCATTCAGAGTAACAAGAAAGAAACAGAGAATATAGGCACAGATATAAGTAAGTGCATAGATGTGACAGTGTGAGCATGTAGAAGTTACCAGATTGCATCAGTGTTCTCATTCAGATGGCTGAGAGTGAAAATGTGAGAGGAGGTTTTCATATTTGAAGAAAGAGAAGGTATAAGATAGCCTTAAAGAGTGTAGTAAAACATGGACTGAGAAAATACAGATTGCTGGCACATTAAGGACCCTGATTTAAATAATGACCCATAATTTAAAGTGAGTCCTGTCATCACAGTTAGGTATTCTTCCAGTTTCATTTAGCTGCACAGGTTTGAGTTAAAATATAGTGTATTATTACAAAATTTAGGTTATAGTTAGTCTAATAGATCAGGAAGTCATTGCCATTGAAAAAATAGTTTGTTATTCACAATTCCAAGGAAGAGGGGGCCCACCACACCACAGGGGACTACCCAGAAGTAATGAGGCAGTGTAGACAACTTTAGGATTAGCTACTTTGAATAATTTCAACGGGTTCTGGAGCACAGGAGCTGCCCCTCTTGGTATGACATTTGGCCATGGGGTGATTAGGACAGGTATAGTGGCACAGAGGGTGAAAGCCCCATAATGGTGTGGATTCTTGATTGTTTGGTTTGCATTTGACAAGTGCATTCTTGGGAGGAAGACTTCTCTTAGGAAAGAGGATGGAAGGCAAGAACAGAGGCTGGAGGCCAAGACAAGGTAACTTAGGCATAGCATCAGGTTTTCCAGAATAGGGCATGTGTTTGACCCATGCATGTAGGTCAGATGTTACAGCATCAAATTTACATACACTATAAACATGGTTAATATACAGGTATAGGCTCAAAGTAAGAGAATAATTGGAAATAACCATGATTTTGGTTTTGCCAGCAAGTATGCTGAAATGAAGGGAAAGGTATGGTGAGAATGTAAGTAAAGAATGATTATAATAATTAACTATCAATTAAAGTAACTAATCATAACCTCAAGAGGGAAGAGATGGCATGAGAAAGATGGTACAGGAATAAAGCATGGTAGAATCAAGGGCCTGAAGGTCATAATCGGGTTGAAGGATTGTTAAAGGATTGGAATTTGAGAGGGTATGCTGGAAAAATAGGAAGTGCTGATTGACCTTACTAAAGAGAAAAGCCACATGTATGACTATGGGAGTAAGTGTCTGAAGTAGCAAGGCAGGTAAAATTATTTATGTGAGAAGATTTCAAGGAGCTAAGAGGCCAGGGTATTTGAAGGATTACCTTCATGGACATTGAAATGCTCAAGAATTATGCCAGAAGTAGCTATTAGAGATAGAGCCAGTGACTTAGAATATGAAGTCTTCAGAGGATGATAGGAGAGAAAAGTAAATGCCATAAGAAAGTAGAGTACATGTGGTCATTGAAACCATGGAATTTACTCAGGAATAGTGTATATAGTGAGAAATCACATAACTAAGATTTGAGCCTAAACGTAATCTGTAAAAGGGGAGCTCAAAGGAAAAGGGAATGGGAGGACCAGATTTTGTGAGGATAGTAGGGCAAAATGTTAAGAAGGAAGAGAATGAGAGAGTTGAAGGTAATGGCAAAAGAGTGATTCAATTGATAAATTGTGGATTCAAGTTTAATAGAGAAAAGAGAAATCTAAAATGTTCTGATTATTTGGTAGAATGGAAAGGTCAGGTGATTAGAGGTCTCAAGGAGGTTGAAGAATAGGCTAAGGTATGAGAGAAACGAATCTGAGAAGTCAATTTTAAGAAGGAATGGTCAGCTGAAGAAGAAACAGTGAAGCTAGATTGTAGTTACAGAGCAAAAAGAGGAGTCATGTAGTAGGCAGTATTACTGGCTAACATTTTAAGGAGTTGGACTGTGAAAGGAAGGAGAGATATAGTAATAGGTAGAGGAAGACATAGTTAAAGGAAGGATTTTTAAGTTGAGGAGATGATTGGGGCATAATTTTGTGCTCACAGGGAAAAGACAGAAAAAAATAAGATAGGAGATGTGGAATTATGGATGGAGAAGAGTCCCTGAGACACCAGTGACAGGTTTCAGAGTTCACAGAAAAGGTTAGTCTTAGATAAGAATGGCAACTCTTACTGAGAAAGGAAAAAAAGACATAAGTGAGTTTGTGGGAGGTGGGAGAAGAATTTAAAGGAGGTAGCGAAATAATTTGAAGGAGTTTTTACATGATTGTTACTTTTTTTTTTTTAAGAGATGTTAGGGGTTAAGTTCTTATAGACAGAAGGAGAATAGGATAGGATACTTAAATGTAAATTGAAATAGTGCACAAATGGAATTCATTCACTCATATAATTTTAAAATATTAAAGTGTCCGTGGTATACTAGGCATTGTGCTGGGTGCTAGGGATATAGCAGTGAACAAGACCAAGTTCCTGCCCTAAACATGCTTACGTTCTGTAGAGGGGTGAACAACAAAATGTCAAGTAACGATAAATGCTATGAAGAAAAATAAAATATGAAAACTGGATTGATTGTTATTTAAACATATTCTTGTCTGATTTTTTATGATTTAAAAAGTAAATGTATTATTTAAAATGTTTTCTTTGGCAGCATATTTCTTTTTTATAATGTCAGGGAGGATCATCCCCATTTTATAGAAATCCATATTACAGAGTACTAGAAGGGATAAAATGATAAGGTAAGTCCTTGTCTTAAGGAATTGACAGGGTAAATCCAAAAGTGAAAAAATATTTTTTCATGGATATAAATATTTTGATTGTAACTTCTCTTCTTACTAAAAAGGGCACGGTGGCTCATGCCTATAATCCTAGCACTTTGGGAGGCTGAGGCAGGCAGATCGCGAGACCAGGAGTTTGAGACCAGCCTGGCCAACATGGTGAAACCCCATCTTTACTAAAAATACAAAAATTAGCCAGGCATGGTGGTGCATGCCTATAGTCCCAGCTACTTGGGAGGCTGAGGCAGAAGAATCACTTGAACCCAGGAGGTGGAGATTGCATTGAGCCAAGATCACGCCACTGCACTCCAGCCAGGGTGACAGAGCGAGACTCCATCTCAAAAAAAAGAGGAAAAGTAGTATATAATTCAGGAAGGAACACACTATTCTTTCTCAGGCTTTATTAATCATGTTTAAATCTGCCCATGTAACTGCACTACACACTCATGTGTGCTTACTATGTGCCAGGAACTTCCTAACCACAATACAAAAATTAATTTTTTTAATTCTCATAATAACCTATAAGTTAAGTACTATTATTATCCTCATTTTGCAGACAAAGAAACTAAGACCCAGAGAAGTCAGCATGGACTTAGGATCTGACTACCTGGGTTCAAATCTCAACCATTGTAGGAATGTTTCCCCTTAAAGCCTCTGTGACTTTATATAAAATAACATTAATAGCAACCTCTTGGAATTGTGAGGAGAAAGTGATGTAATATATGCCAACTCTTTAGAACTATGTTTATACATAATAAGATTTCAAGTAGCTATCATTATTTCTTGTTATATGTTTAGATTGTTCACATGTTTTTAAATGAAAGTCTGCTTTTTATTGTTGGTTGATTTTTCTTTTCAATCTTGAATCCTTTGCGTTATATTTTAATTTCCTTATACAGGAACATTGTCACACAACCAAAGAAGTCTATTAGCTTTTTTGCTGCAATGAAAGCAACTTCAGGGAAAGGATATACTGGTGCAAATCAAAGCAGAATGGCTGTGTCCAAAACCGTGCTTATTCCACCTGAATTGAAAACTGCAGACAAAACAAATCCCAGTATAAAGACAATGCAGGTAATATTCTTAGAATTCTAAGTTTATCTGAAAATGGCACCATGAAAAACTCAATTGAAATGTTAAAGATAGAAAATATGCTGCTTTCAGATAATCACTCACTTGTAATTTTGAAACAGATTTTGTTAATTTCTACCACATATTATTCCATACAACATAATACTGACACTTGGCTCCTATAACTAGTTATTGATAAGAAGAATATTAGAGTGGAATGAGAAAAGTCTATTCATGACCTTAAGAACTATTTGCTTATGGTATTAATTATATATGTTACAATATCTTTCATTGTTGTCAGCAATATAGTCTTGAAAATGTAATAAAATTATTTGTCATAAAGTCAGTTATTGTGCCTCATTAGAAGATTTATAATTAAGAATTAACTCTTTTAAACTTTTAATCAAATGATAACATATACAGAAAAGCATGTAATATATAACTTTGAATGGGTTCAGCATTTGTTTGGATGGGACATTAAAAGAAGAGTCCATAAAAGATAAAATTCGTAAGTTGGACTTCATCAAAATTAAAACTTTTTCTCTGTCAAGGACATTGATAACAGAATACAAAGAAATGTGACACACTGGGGAAAATTATTTACAAAGCATATTTTGATAAAGTACTTATAACTAAAACGTATAAACAACCTTCAAAGCAATATTAAGACAACCCAATTTTTAAAAATTAGCAAAATGTTTGAGCTAACACTTCACCAGAATAGATAAACAGATAGCATGGGAGCACATAAAAAGATGATCAGTATTAATTAAAAACCATACAACACTGCTACGTAGCTATTAGAATGTCTAAAATTGAAAGACTGATCATATCAAGTATTGACAAGTATGTGGAGGAACTAAAACTCTCACATGGCTGGTAGACATGGAAAATAGAAAACAATTATTCGTCAACTTATTAAGTGTTAACATATACCTACTATATCATCCAGCTATTCCATGTCTAGGTATTTACCAAGAGAAAAGAAAGTATATGTTTATATAAACACTACTACATGAATGTTTATACACCTTTATATATAATGGTGGAAAACTAAACCCTCATTTTATTAAACAAATATGATATATTTGCACATATGTATTTCACTTATGTGTGTATATATACATATACATATATATGAATACACGCATATAAATATATATGCATGTGTATATACAAATAAAGTATATTTCATTTATTTATATGTATAAAAAATTATTTTCTCCAATGGTGAAAATATTTATTATACATGTATATTTTCTCCAATGGTGAAAGACTGAAAGCATCTCTCCTAAGATCCAAGAACAAAAGAAGGATGCCTACTTTTACCACTTCTCTTCAACATAGTAGTGGCAGTCCTAGCCAGGGCAATTGGGCAAGAAAAAGAAATAAAAGGCGTCCAGGTGGGCATGGTGGCGCACGCCTTTAATCCCAGCACTTTGGGAGGCCAAGGCGGGCAGATCACTTGAGGTCAGGAGTTTGAGACCCTCCTGGCCAACATGGTGAAACCCTGTCTCTACTAAAAATACAAAAAAATCAGCCACCCGTCGTGGCAGGTGCCTGTAATCCCAGCTACTTGGGAGGTTGAGGCAGGAGAATCACTTGAAACTGGCAGGCAGAGGTTGCAGTGAGCAGAGATAGCACCACAGTCTGTCTCAAATTAAATAAATAAAAGGCACCCAAATCGGAAAGGAAGAAGTAAAGTTCTCTCTGATGTGATCTTATGTGTAGAAAACTGTAAAAATTACACAGACACACACACAACTAAAAAATGAATTCTGCAAAGTTGCAGGATAGAAAATCAACAACACAAATTAGTTGCATTCCTAACAATGAATTTCCAAAAAGGAAATTAAGAAAAAGATTGCATTTACAATCGCATCAACAATAATAAAATACCTAGGGATAAATTTAACCAAGGGGCCAAAGCTTTGTATACTGAAAACTACAAAACACAAAAGAAAGGAAAGAATACACCAGTAAACGGAAAAAACATTTCTTGTTCGTAGATTGGAAGGCATAATAGTGTTAGGATGTCAATACTACCTAAGTGACTTACAGATTCAATACATTCCCTACCAAAATCCCAGTGATATTTTTTCAGAAGTAGAAAATCCTATCCTAAAATGTATATGAAATATCAAGAGATGCAAATAGCCCAAACAATCTTGAATAAGAAGAACAAAGTTGGAAGTCTCATACTTCCTGATTTTAAAACTTACTACAAATCTGTAGTAATCAAAACAGGGTGGTAGTAGAATAAAGACAAACATACAGTATAGACCAATGGAATGGAATGACCCAGAAATAAAATTTCACATATATGGTCAAATGGTTTTGACAAAGAAGCCAAGACTGTACAATGGAGAAAAGACAGTTTTGTCAACAAATCTTGTTGGGACAACTGGATATCTGCATGAAAAAGAATGAAGTTGGATCCTTACCTTATACCGTCTACAAAAATAAACTCAGAATGGATCAAAGACCCCAAATAAGAGCTAACTCTATAAAACTCCTAGTGGAAAACAGGGAAAAGAAATTATTTGTCAACAATTTCTTGCATATGACACCAAAAGCATATGCAGCTAAAGAAAAAATATATATATTGGGCTACATTAAAATTAGAAACTTCTATCAAAAGACATTAACAGAGTGAAAAAACCCACAGGATGGTAGAAAATATTTGCAAATTATGTATTTGATAAGGTGCTAATAACCAGAATATGTAAGTAACTACAAATTAACAACAAAGAAACAGCCCAATTAAAAGAATGGGCAAAGAACTTGATTAGATATTTTTACAAAGAAGATGCACAAATGACCAACAAACACAGGAAAAGATACTCAACATCACTAAGCATTAGGGAAATGCAAATCAAAATCACAGTAAGACACTACTTCATACCCATTATGACAGCTACTATTAAAAAAAAAGTGTTGGTACGTCATGGAGAAATTGAAACCCTTGCATACTGTTGGTGGATTTTGAAATGGTGTGGCCACTGTGAAAAATGGTATTGTAGGGCCAGGCATGGTGGCTCACACCTGTAATCTCAGCACTTTGAGAAGCTGAGGCAGGAAGTTTACTTGACGCCAGGCTCAGCACTTCGGGAGGCTGAGGCAGGAGGATTGCTTGAGGTCAGGAGTTTGAGACCAGCCTGAACAACATAGCAAGACCCCATCTCTATAAGAAAATGAAAAAATAAATTAGCCAGGTGTGGTGGCAAGAGCCTGTAGTCATAGATGCTCAGGAGAATCACTTGAACCCAGAATTTCAAGACTACAGTGAGCTATGATCGTGCTACTGCACTCTAGCCTGAATGACAGAGCTATATCCTGTCTCAAAAGAAAAAAGGAAAGAAAAACAGTATTGTGGTTCCTCCAAACCTTAAAAGTAGAATTACTATATGATTCAGGAAGGAGTATATATCAAAAGACTTAAAAGCAGAGTTTCAAACAGATATTTGTACAACCATCTTCATATCAGCATTATGCACAATAGCTAAAAGGTGAAAGCAACTAAAGTCCTCATCAACAGATGACTGGATACACAAAATGTGGCATATACACACAATGAAATATTCAACCTTAAAATATAATGAAAAATCATTAATGAAATTACAATCTACATTAGAAAAATATTCACTAATAGAAATAATGTACTATTGTGATAGTGATATGTAAATAATCAACAAAAGAAGAAATTAAAAGGAAAATCAGAAAATATTCCGAGATGATAGATAATCAAGACACAACATACCAAAGCTTATGGGATACAGCTAAAGCACTGCTTAGAGGGAAATTTATAGATATACATTTGTATTAGAAAGAAGAAAGATCTCAAATAACTTACCCTTCCAACTGAACAAACTGGAAAAAAAAAGTGAATAACACAAAATAACATGAAATAAGCAGAAGGAAGGAAATAAAAAATATTTGGGTGGAAATTAATGAAATCTTGAATAGAAAAACAATAGAGAAAATCAATGAAACTGAAAGCTGGTTCTTTAAAAAGATCAACAAAATTGACAGAAAAGACATTTTGAAAAAATCCAACATCTTTTCATGACATAAACACGCAACAAACTAGGAATAGAAGGGAATTTCCTCAATCTGATAAAGGATTTGCAAAAACCCCACAGCTTACATTATATTTAATCACACTTAATCTCCTTATCATCAGGAACAAGACAAGTCCTTGCATTGCTATTCAACATTATCGTGGAGGTTCTAGGCATGGAAATTAGACAAGAAAAAGAAAAGGCATCCAGGTTGGAAAGTAAGAGGTAAAAACATCTCTATTTGTAGATGACATGATGTTATATATACAGACTCATAAGGAATTCACTAAAAAACAATTAGGACTTGCAAATGAGTTTTGTAAGGTTGCCAGATACATGATCAATATACAAATAAATTGTATTTCTAGACGTGTGCATAGAACCATTTGAAAAGAATGATCTGTTTCTCAATAGCATCAAAAACAGTAAAATACTTACGAATAAATGTAATAGAAGAAGTGCAAAATGTATGCTCTGAAAACTGTAAAACATTATTGAAAGAAATTAAATAAGATCTAATTAAATGGGAAAGTATCCCATGGTCATGATCAAAAGACCTACTATTGTTAAGATTGTTATACTCCTCAAACTGATCTGTAAACTTAACACAATTGTTATCAGAATTCCAACTGACTTCTTTCTACAAACTGACAACTGATTCTAAAATTCATATGGGGCCAGGACCAGTGGCTCATGCCTGTAATCCCAGCACTTTGGGAGGCCAAGGTGGGTGGATCACCTGAGACCAGGAGTTCGAGACCACCCTGAACAACATGGTGAAACCCCATCTCTACTAAAAATACCAAGTTAGCCGGGTGTGGTGGCGCATGCCTGTAATCCCAGGTACTCGGGAGGCAGAGGCAGGAGAATTGCTTGAACTTGGGAGGCAGAGACAGTAGAATCACTTAAACTTGGGAGGCAGAAGTTGCAGTGAGCCAAGAT